GGCAGAGATGAAAAAACACAGTCCAACAAAGTTTAAAAAATGTAAACTAAGCCTGAGCTTTTGAATCATGTTTATGTTTCAATAGGGAAATCGCCATTCTTTTTGAAAACTTAAATCCACAGTGTTGTAACTGCTTTACTAGCACTTAAAAACACACTTAGATTTTTATCATGATTTGGACAAGAACGGCAGGTAGGTAACAGGAAGAATAATCATGAAACATACTTTTCTGGCAGAAGTGTTTCTCCAGATGTGGAATTTCCAAAAGCAATTAGAGCCTGGAGCTGAAAGAAGTGGATTTCGAGTGGAAGCTGGTTTCCTGATCGATTTTGCATCTCTTGTTTAGACAGGAAAGTCAGAGATGTGGGTCCATGATTTGATCCTTTTTATTTGATCCTTTTCATGGCAGAGTAGTATTCCACTGTATAAAAATACCACAACTTCTTTACCCAGTCATCTGTTGTTTCATTTAGGTTGCTTCCATGTCTTGGCTATTTTACAGAGTGCTGCTTTGAATATTGAGGTGCAGGTATCTTTTTGCATTGGAGTTCCCTACAGATAAATACCCAGAAGTGGGATTACTGGATCATAGGGTAAGTCTGTTTTTTTTAGTTTTTCGAGGAATTTCCATACTGTTTTCCATAATAGCTACACCAAACTACATTCCCACCAGCAGTGTAAGAGGGTTCCCTTTTCTCCACACTCTCCAGCATTTAACTTCATGAGCTTCTGAGTGATGGCCATTCTGACTGGTGTGAGGTGATACCTCATTGTAGTTTTGATTTGTGTTTCTCTGGTATTTAGTGATACTGAGCAATTTTACATGTGCCTATTGGCCATTTGCAGTGTGTTCATTGGAGAAATGCTTGTTTAGGTCTTCTGCCCATTTTTGGATTGGGTTTTTTGTCTTTTGTTATTAAGTTTTATGAGCTGTTTATATATTCTGGAAATTAAGCCTTTGTGAGTCGAGTCATTTACAAATACTTTCTCCCATTCTGTAGGTTGTCGAGGGTGGGGCTCCGGCGAAAGGATGAGGGGCGGGTTCCCCTCCCGATCTCAGGAAATCTCCCAAAACGGCAGCAGCTTGGCCAGACTGCCATTGCCTCAGGCAGCCCAGGAACCATTCAAAGTGCCCTGAGAGGTACCTGGCGCTCGCGATTGGCTGAGCCGGACCAGCGCCCCTGGGCGGGGCCGGCCCCCAGGCAGCGGCCGCTGGTCACGCCCCGCTGGTGCGCATGCGCGCTGTTACCACAGGAAAGAGTCTGCGCACACCCTCGCCCGGCCTCCTCTTCGCGCTGCGGCTCCCTCCCCTGTCCGCGGAGGCTTGTAGGCTGGGCGAGACAGCAAGAGCTGCGGCCGGCAGGGGGCTGTGCGGACCCAAGGCGGCTGCGGTGGGCCGGCCTGTGGAAAATGCCAGCAGGCGGCGCTTCGGTTGGTGCTTCCCGGAACCCCCTGCGACGGCCGGGGAACAACCCGCCCACGCACGGAGTACCGCACTGAGACGCTTCGGCGGGAACGAGGCCGACGGCCGGCTGTGCCGGTTGCGCCCCTGAGGTGAGTACGGCGGCGGCGGCGGCCACGGGGCGCGGGGAGTTGGGCGCCATAAGGAGCGGGGGGAGGGAGGTCGCGCGGGCCACTGCGGGGCGGGGACGGCGGTCGCCGGCGGTCTGGGGCCGGGGGTCCACAGCTGTGAGCATGGGGAGCACCCCGGAGTCCTTGTGGCTCCCCACCCTGAGCACCGTGGAGCCCTTGTTGCTCCCTATCCCTCCCGTGGCCCCAAATCTGTGCCCCCTCCGCTTGGGCGCTCTGGTGATGGTCGCGGAAGCCTCCGAGGACTGGAGCCACCGCAAGGCCACCCCGTGCCCGTACTCTCGAGTCGCCCGCGCCCTGCTTGCCTTGAGGGGGCTGGTGCCCTTGGCTCCCGCAGCCCCCCAACTGATCTGACTCGTTTACAATTTGGAAAAACTTCCATTCTCACAAGGTAGG